GCAGGAGGAAAACAGAGGAAGACACCATGAGGAAGAGGAAGAGGAAATGCATCTGAAACCCTGTTCACCGAAACCAGAGCAATAACTGAGAGAAATCCAGATCCCTCCGAGACTACAGCCGACACCACAGCTATCACCAGACACAGACACACACACTCGCGAGGCACAAATATCACATAACATCACAATGTCTACAGCTAAACAGACTGAAGAACACGTCACACACACACTGAGGAGAAAATACAACCAGTTAATCCAACGACAGCATTGTGTCACATACAGTGATGTTAATACAGTCATTAAGAGTAGTGCTGCTCAAACGATTTAACATCATAAACTCAAACATATCAGACAGTCAGTGTGCTGCTAAAACAAAAGGCATGTGTCTTAAAGGGGTCACAGCATCATTTTATATCATATTAGTTTTCCCTGAGATCCATTATAACTTTAAGAAAAGTTTTCTGGCATCATTTAGTTTGTCACGTGCATTTTTCCTTCTCTTTGACCCTGGAAATGGACCGGGTGGTTATTACAGACTCGTGTAAGACTTGTGGCCAAAAACTAAATAAGTGTTGATGTAAACGAGGACAGCCAAAAATACATGAGCTCACAGCTGATGTCATAAATAATCATGAAGATTTCTGAACAAGGCTAGTTTGCATAGTTTTCATAGTACAAGATTTCAAAGAAAAATGTGATTTATCATGATATGACCCCTTTATTAAGCAGTTAATATGCAGTAGATGTTTTCTTCAGCAATAATAAGCATCCAGTCAAACATGAGGAGAGACAGTATCGGTCTGTTAGTGGGGGCAGAACAGTCACAGCGCCCCGTGTGGTGAGGAGTGAGCATGCGGTCAGTGTTAGAGCGTTAGTAGAAAACAAAGAGCCTCCTTTCTCACTGTTACAAACACTCTGTACGCAAGACAGTGCTGTTAGCCAACAAAATGTGCCATCCACACTGAGAAAATACAGGAACAGCGGTGTGCAAGTCTGTGCTAACGGCTCCAAACTGACACACAGCTCCAACAGACAGGAAGGAGAGCGTCTGCTATACGGCTACAAACATTAGCGCAATGTACTAGTTATCCTGATTAATAACAGTTCATTGGTCTGGCTGATATATCAGCCGTGTGTGTGTGTATGTCTGGATGGATGCGTCCATTTGTGTGTGTATAAAGGTCTTTTCACATTCAAGAAACACAAAAAGAATAAATTTCAGTCTAAATGGTTCATAAAACACTACCATTCAAATGTCTGGGGTTCAGTAAGATCTTCTTTTTAAAGATATTAATACTTTTATTCAGCAAGGACGCATTAAATTGATCAAAGTGACAGTAAAGACATTTATAATGTTACAAAAGATTCATATTTCTAATAAATGCTGTTCTTTTGAACTGTGTGTTCATCGGTGAATCCTGAAAAATAAAATGTATCACAGTTTCCACAAAAATATTGTGCAGCACAACTGTTTTCAACATTGATAATAATCAGAAATGTTTCTTGAGCAGCAAATCAGCATATTAGAATGATTTCTGAAGATCATGTGACACTGAAGACTGGAGTAATGATGCTGAAAATTCAGCTGCGCATCACAGAAATAAATTACAGTTTAACAGATATTCACATAGAAAACAGTTATTTTAAATTGTAATAATATTTCACTTTTTTTTGTTTTTACTGTATTTTTGATCAAATAAATGCAGCCCTGATGAGCAGATAAGACTTCGTAATTATAATGTATATATATTTATAACTGTATTAAATAATTTAATTTAATAAAATAAATAAGTAATAATTAATTTATAATAAATAATTAATTCATAACTAAATTTAATTAATATAATAAGTCATTTAGTTTTAAACGTTAATTTTAATTATTAAATTAAATTATTATATAAAATTATTCATTAATTTTAATTATTTACATAATTTTTAAAACATTTAAAAAAAATCTTACCCCAAACT